TGCTGACCTTGTGGTAAGTAGGTCAGTGCTTAGCCTACAGCACCACACCAGGGAAGTGACAGATTACAATTAAGGATCAGGAATTGTCAGGACTGTCTCTTCTCAGCCATGCCCACAAGCTGACCTTTCTCCCTGTCCTCGGGCTCTGGGTCCTTGACCCCTTGGACCTCTTGGGTCAGCTAGGTTTTTGCCCTGCTTGGACGAGTGCTACAAAGCTCTTTTCGTTCTGGCAATAAGTGCCTAAAGACACCCTCTTCTACCAGCAATCCTCCTTCCCGATGGCATTCAGGTGTCTCACTCTGGACCAGGAAGCTCACCACACCATCTCCTGCTGGTTGTCTGGTTCAGTTGCCATTTCTTTGCCATTGCCACTGTCGTGCCGTCTCTCACCACCTCTAGCGTTACAGCTCTCTGTCTCTTGGGTCTAGGAGGTTCCCAACACAGTCACCCCGGGTCTAAAGGACGAGCTCTGTTCCTGTCTCTTCTTTTTGGTGGTATTCAGGCGCTCCCTTTCTGCCTCTGGAGTGGTTTATTTTAAGCCTAGCAGGTTGACAAAACTGACCAATCCCTTCTTTAGGACTCCATACACCGTATTTGAATGGTCTCATACCTGCACATTTCCATGCACCTTGAGTCCATAGTCCCACCCAACCATCGGGTGGGCCTTACAAGACTATAGCGTACTGGTGATATAGGATAAACACTGGACTACAAGGTGCGGCACTGTGGATAAATGCCCTGGACTGCAAAGTCAGTTTGATTCGTAAGGTTGGTGGTTCAAGCTCACCAGCTGCTCCTTGGAAACCCTATACAGGGTCGCTATGGGTTAGAACCAACTCAATGGCATGTAACAACAACAAGGTCATGTTGAACCACAACATCAGCAGTTCAAAGCCACCAGTCACTCCTCAGGAACCATATACAGGGTTGCTATGAGTCAGAAACAACTCGACGGTTCTTGGGATCATCAACAACATGCAACCATTTGAAGCATAGTGGGACCGCACGGCACTTAACAATGAGAGACCTGGTGTGGCACTGTGGGTTAATGTGCTGGACTGCAAAGTCGGTTTGAACCGCAGGGTTGGTGGTTCAAGCTCACCAGCCGCTCCTCAGAACCTATACAGGGTTGCTATGGGTCGGAACCGAATCGACAATACTTAACAACATTAACAGCAAGACTATGGTTTGAAGGGCACTATTGAATAACTGACTGCCTGGCAGAGACCTGAGTGTGATTCGTAACCTGTGTAGCCACCCTGTCTGTCAGGGGAGCCCTGTGTGGTGCTCTGATGCTGAAAAGGCTTCTGGGGAGCTTCCAGACCAGGAAGAAAGGCCTGAAGACTTACTTCCAAAAAATCAACCAATGAAAACTCATGGATCATGATGGTCTGGTCTGCAGCCAATCTTGCAGCAGGACTGGACTGGGCAGCCTTGTGTTTAGTTGGACGTGGGGTCGCCATGAGGCAGGGTCAACTCAGTAGCAGTAAAGAATAACAAATCCCGCTTCATGATTGTATATACAGGATGTGGAGAGTGAGGGCATTGAACCAAAGTCTGGGAGGACAAGGACACACTTTTCCATTCATTCTTTTAACAACTTGCTGACTTCCCACAGTGGCTTCAGGGGACACAGCACCGATTCCTTCCTTCGTGGTGGGGCCAGTAACTGACCATTTATAAAGAGCGTTAAGTAGCCACTCACCCTCAGGAACTATCCAGAGCAGGAGGGGTGGAGGAGACGTGAGTGTCTAACAGGAGTTCCTGAGGGATCTCAGGAGTCCTGAGAGGTCAGAGCATCAAGCTAGCTTCCTGGAAGAAGAGGAACTTATGGAATAAGGAGGAGTTGGCCAGGTGGGGATGCGCTCAGTTTTTACAAACAATACCCTCCCTTTTTTTTTTTTCCTGCCTCTTTAGATTATATAGAAGCATTATATTCCTATATAACCTGTGTTTTTGTTGTTGTTTATTTATAAGAAGGTAATTATGACCTTGAATATATCCCACCTGAATTTAGAGATCATCTGAAGAACAGATTTGATACATTAAACACTAAAGACCAAAGACCAGAAGAGTTGTGG